AATAAATTATTTATTGAGCATGCAAATCAAAATCATCAACGAAACAGTTTCTCATTTTTGGGTTCTCAAGAGGGCAACACTTACATGCTCGCCATCGACTTTACGATTGGGTTCCATCTGGTTAAACGAATTGAATCGTTATCAATAATGCATATATAGATTGAGGGAATAGTTAAAGAGGTAGAAGATAGTATCGGTTATACGCTTACAAATCTAAGAGACACCACCCAGGCCATAGCTCAATCGAAAGCCAATAGCTCGCACATACCTGATCCTCGATGGTGCGATGATTCGTTTCCTGCAGCCAAGTGCCCAATATGATGGAATCATCGCCATGGCAAAGTGTGCGCAGCAGAGAATTCGTCGTATTGGCTGCATTATCCGACAAGGTAAACTCCGAGACGAGCATGCGCAGCAGATGTGTATAGGAAGCCTCCAGAGCTGTGGGTGGCAGCAGAGTCAAGGCTTCAAAGAGACGTAGACGCACCATAGCAGCGGGAGCTTTAAGCTGAGTGCCATAGCTTTTCAGCACGGTGGCCAAGCTGGGAGAGGCATGTAAACATGAGAATGTGAAGACAAAAAATATATCAACAGTTTACTCACTTCACCAGCATGGCGAGGGCGCTCTCGATGGGCGTGAGCAAACGTCGAGTAATGTCCTCACTGACCAGATCCGGGCAATTCAACAGAAAACTGTGCATGACTGACAGGGCGCCGGCGCGGCCCTCCAGTGTCACTTGCCAGGTGAATGCATCACCCCGTGCCTTCTCCGATTCGAGTTCCTTGTTCGAGCGCGGAAAGGAGTTCCGCCAAAGCAACAGCATGCGTGGCAAAAGGCCTTTGACCACAGGCGAGCCTAGCGTCATGATGGCGCCAATTAATAGCCAGCCGGCCTGGGTGCGATGCAGCGACATGCGGCTATTCTGGGAAGCGGAGCGCAGCAGCTCCTCGGCACAGTTGAACACCACCTTGCCCTTGGTGTGAGGTATGCCCAAGGGGGAGTGGCGTGCGCTACCCAAAATGGCCGCCAAGGCGCAGCTATAGCCGGCAATGGCCTCTGGCGAGGATCGCATCTGTTCAATAGCATCAATGAAGCGATCGATGAGCGGCGTTATCTGGCTGGGCACCGCAATGCAGCAGCTGCGCAGACACCACGCAGCAGCCAAACGTGCCGCGGCACATGGATGCACCAGCACCGCGCATGTTGCATCTATGGCATTCAAGGATTGATCTGTCAGGAGATTCTGCGCTGTTGTGCCCAGTCCAATGAACAGAGAGCTTAGCTCCTGCAGGGCGCACACCAACAAATGTTGACTGAAGAGCGTCTCCTGGTTCGAATCCTTGGCATTCTCTGGATTGAAATCAATTGAGTTCATTTGCTTGGCCACCAGATGAATGAGCTCCTTGCAGGCGGCGCTTTGCGCCTTCTCGCCCAACATTTTGCCTATGGTGGAGCGCAATATGAAGTTGATGCACTTGCGCGAATAGACAGCATCCACATGCGAACAGGCTGCCTTCGGATTTGCCACCAAATCCAGCACATGAGCCAGAAATGTGCTCAGCTGCCGCTCCAGCCAAACGCTCCCCATGAATTGTACGAACACCACATATGCGTGGGTTACGCCGACGCGCACCTCTCGATTGACGCCCGAGCTGCCCTTGATGATTTCACCGGTGCCCTTGAGAAATGAAGCGCCACCACGCAAAAATCCGGACATGAGTATGCCTAACGCTTCGTCCAATGAGACCAAACGTAATGCGCCGCCTTTGGCCGCTTGCAATGCTATGGCCACTTGCGCCTGAGCAGATTTCTTGTTACTCGCCGCCTCGGCCAGTTGCTGTGTGAAAGCGAGCAGAGTGCCTAACAACTGGGCGACGGCGCAGCGTACCTCATAGTTGCTACCATCGAATGCGCGGAAGCACAGCGTGCCCAGATTTTCAAGTTCCGCCTGGTACAAGAACGGGGCGCTGTAGATCATCTTGAGTATGCAGCGAGAGGCAGCCACGCGCACGGCCATAACACGATCGAGCAGACAATGTTTAGCGGCTTTGTAGATGTCCTTGTGCACGTTGGCGATGGCGGTGCCCATGCCAGCGCTCACCTTCTCGAGTGTGTGCATGATTTCGATGCGGGCCTGCGACTCCGCGTTGCGTAGCGTGCGTATGAGGATTTGTACAGTGTCCTCGTACGTTCGGCCCATCATGCGACCCAGTTTTTCATACATGGAGCCCAACACGCAAATTGCGGCGCTGCAAAAGAAAATACGTATGAATTGACTTGCATTGGATCGCCATCACGTTACTTACAGTTTTGTGGGCAAATAACTTGGCGAGTCATCTTTGTTCTTCAGTATGTCATTGCAGGCATTGACCGTATCGAAGAGCATAAAGGTGTCGCCCACGGAAAAGAGCGTGGCCAGTGCGCTGGCTATCAGCTTGCGCATGGGCGGACCCGGCGCCCCTTGTATGCGCTCCGAGAGCTGTTGCACAAGTTTTTTTTGTCCCGCCTTAATCTCATGTTTGGGCATGTGCGGCAGAGACTTCTCCAAATAACGTAACCATTCAAGCTCGAAGACTGCACGCTTGTGTTCCGGAAGCAGTTTCACTGCCTCTTCGTTTAGAGTCAAGCTGTGGGCGAGTTCCATTTCGTCGCGTGGCGCAGCTGTGTCCTCAGTTGCCTTGCCGGCAGCGGTGTCGTCACTGTTTATAAATGATCTGCAATACGAATGGAATTTTTCTAATTAATTAATATATACAAACATACAAATGAGTGTGTACATATGGCATGGGAATGATGATAAACAGCCGTTGATCTCATTTCAAGTACGTTCTTCCATTTCTCGACAAAAGTTGATGAGTGAAGCCGTGACTGTGACTGAGTCACTATGATTGACAGATATATTGTGATTTAATAATGATCATATGTCGTATATTTAGTTGGCCTAATTTGTCATTTAATCAAGATATGCTTCCGAAATATTTCCATCCCAAACGCCTATAAGAACTCAAACATAGAGAAGCACAGTCTGATATTCACAGTCACGATGTTGCTCATCTCTACTGCCCACTCACTTAATTACCCACTCAAACATTTCAACATCTGTGCGATCAATTTTCATTTGGGACTTATCGATAAATTGCAGCTAGGTTCTGTTATTGACCTTGGGTTTGCCATTTGCTCTGATGGTAGGTAAAGCCTCACAGGAAGGTCATACTGTTCGCAGTGTGTCCAATTGAAATAAATTATGCATCACCCGAGCTAAATAAATGCGGATGAGTCTTGCTCAACATTATAGTATTATAAAAAAAAACACATAAAGGGAAGCTGTAGAGCAACCAATACAATCACCAGCATAGCAATATTTGTGCATACATACTTATATACAATGATAAGTGCGCTCTATCGCCTTGGGCGCGATAAAAAGCAACTGTTGACATACATACGGTATGTGCCTTTATGTATACATACATATATACATTTCGCCCAAATACAACACAAGCGCACACACACGCATACATTGAAAAAGTCAAGAGGAGCCAAATCCTACATAAAGAGGGTGTCGGCCCAAAACAAAGACATGTAACGGCAATCCCTTTGTCTTATTCTGCACAAAATTATGAGCGCACCGGTTGTGGGGCAATGGTTATGGCTATGGCTGCTTGAAATACAATGAGGCTAACGGTTTAAGGACTGCTTTTGTTCGCGGTCGTATGTTGCATATACAAAATAATAAGAAGAAAAAATCAAAGCGATTGGCGTCGCCAGGCTCGGGTTACATAAGACGCCGTGCAACTGTAATAGGTTTGGGGGTCGTGTGGTTGGCGTCGGTCGAGCGTAAAAGTAAGCATGTAAAACCTGTAAGGTGCAGCAGGAGAAGGCAAACAGTAAGACGGAGAACAAAAACCACATAGAACTGCATCACAGACAATTGCCCATCTTCTCGCTCACACACACACACAGCCACCCCATTTTATCCCGTTACTCGTTGCTTGCAGACCGCCGCTTTGTCTGTGATACTGTCATTGTTGTTGTTGGTGGTGGTGGGTTTTCATTGTTGTTGTCTGTTGTGAGCAAATTTATTTACCTGCGCGCCTCGTTGATGACTTTGCGCAGAAATTGCGGCGTGCGTGCAAAGTTTAAGTTTTCCATTGTGCAATTTACAACTTTGATTTACAAAGGAAAAACTTTCTTTTTGCCAATTATTGTCAGCAGAGGTGCCGCCACCGCTTGCAACTTTCACACAAATCGATAACTTTTTTCCATACCACAAATTGAGTTTCCTACAGAACTGGTAGAACTAATTATATTAAATTGATTTCCTTTTATTAGGTTATCAACAAAAAGCTTTAATGTTGGTTTGCTATTTCTGATTCGCTATTGAATAATTACAGAAGTATTACGCTATGCAACGTTAACTAAATGGAGGCAACAACGCGAGAAACAACACTTGCTACACGCTCCAAATACAAATGGCAACTGGAAGCAAGCAGCAGCAGCAGAGAGCGGCAAAGTCAACGGCAAACATAACAACGCTCTAGCGTCACAGTCCAGAGAGCAAGAAAGAGATGCGAAATGTTATGCGTTATTGCGATAAATAAGAGTAAGAATATTTTGAGCTCGTTTTTGTTTGTATAGAATTTTAAATATGATATAAAAATATGATGATCTGCAGAGTTTTATAGTTTCATTTGATATCATATCTCACACCCTTGTGACGTCACAAGATCATATTTCAAGCGTCACCTCTTAAATGGCAAGCTTGGTCACAGGCGTCGAGCGGGCTGCATGCAAAATGAAAGAAAACAAAGAGAGCGGAATAAGAGAGCGTATATGCTCTCTTGCGCTTGTAGATTTATTGATGACGTCGACACAGCTGTTGACAGCCGCCATATGTGCAACAAATTGGCCATTCGTTATCGATAGCTCACACACAAACAAACATATCGAAAACGGTGGGCGGGCTGCCTAAACTGTGTCAATGTGTCAAATGGACAATTTGAATTGAATATTTTATGAGTTATAATTTATTATGTGCTCGATAAATGGACAAATCACTCTAGATCTAGGGCAAAAACTGCATGCTTGGTATATGGATGAGCGCCTTGGATGTGGCGCTATTCGGATTGCCCAAATCCCTTAGAATACCCTGTACACGGGCCACCACATCGCTGCGCTGTACATCTCCACGGTCAAGCATACGCTGGAACAGTGTGTGCAACTGTCGTGTGGATGAGGCATTGGATAGCTCGAACAGCTGCTGCAGCAACTCCTCGGAATAGCCCTCATATTTGCTTAGATTCGCTGCCTTGGCATCTCGTTTGAGGAGATCGTAGACGAGCAGGAAGTCCACATAGGGCTTGGTGGGCGGTACACGTTTCTTGCCCGCCGTCGATGTGCTGCTCCAGCGATCCATAGCCGACTCGAAATCAAAAGCAGCACGTCCATAATTATCATCGTAGAGGCGCAGAAAGTTATCCAACGATTCCACATCGTTGGTGAAATCATCGTGCAACGCCTCCGTTTGTATATCGCGGATCAGCGAGAGCGGCAGTCTATCAAAATCCGAATCAGAGTTGATCTCATCGAACAGCGCCTGACCCTCCAGTGGTGTCGGCAAAACGCGCTTGGCTGCATCTGGAGCATAGAGCGCCGGACCATGTGGCGGAGTTGGCGCTGCTGTTGGTCGTGCTGTGGTAGAGGTGCGCTCTGGCGTTTCCCACCAACTTGGGGGCTGCCACCAGCCGGTGGTGCTGCCTGTGGGTCGTCGTGTTGTGCTGCTGGGTCTGCTCGGATTAGAGTTTGCAGCAGTTGGTCTTGAGGTAGAGCTGGAGCTAGCTACTGGAGTCAGTGGTGTGGTGCTTTGCTCCGGCTGACCATCGGCACTGAATGGGGGCTCCGCTGTGGTGCTGGACAACGGCTCGTATTGGAGCAGATCTATGTAGTAGGCCAGCGCCTGCATGGAGGCGGGCAGATAGCTGTTTAGCAGATTGGCAGGCTGGCCAGGCGAAAGCAGCCCAAATAGCAGCAGCATCCACAAAGATGTCCGCTTCAAGCAACTGCGCATTTTTACGAAAGTTTTTTTGTTTTTAGTTTTTATTTCTTTTTAGATTTGTGGTCGGGGTTTTTCGAGCGATTTGCGCGGCAGAGAGACAGTTTGGTAACTGAAAGTTGGCAGACGACAGCCAGCAAGAATCTTCATGAGACAAGCTGGTTTTACGAATTGGATGCTCAGCTTAAACTTCTTTGATACCCTGTACTGAAAGCCAGAACTAAGGAAGTGTGTTACCCTTCAGAAATGGTTAATTTAATATGAAATGAATTTTAATCAAATAAATAGGTTTACATGCCTTTAGAATTATCTCTTGGATAAAGTGGAATAGAAATTTACTTTTATGAAGTAAAAATGAGATATAGTATATTTTATAAAACAGATATTTTTAAATAAAATAATTATAAAGATTTTATTTTAACTTTAATTTAAAAGTATAAAATAACAAGGAACAAATATTTCATTGTGTTATCTAATAACTTATTTGATAGCTATTTTAAATACATATGTGAAAACTCTTTTACTATCTTTAATGATTTCTGTTTCATACATTGGTAGAGAACTTTGACATTGTACAGGGTATTTTTTAGTCGCACATTGCATAATTAATTATTTTTTTTTATTTGGTCAAACTTGTTAAACAAAGGCCAGCGACCGCATTTGTGTTGCGTCAAAATTGTGTTTTTTTTTTTTGGTAATCGTCGTTGTCCTCACGCTTTGTTCTTGGAAAGAGTGAAAGATTTTGGAGTGTGAGCCATAACCAGTTTGGGCATGGGCGAAGGTAGCACTTTAATATTCAAAAGCCGCAAATATAAACCTGAATATTTGTGTTTTTCGTTTATTTATTTTTACTTTTTTGGTGAATCAAATCAAATCAGAAAAAACGCATTATATCAAAATGCAGTTTGAAGTGAACTGCATGGTTGGGAAGCAATTGATAAAGGTACATGTGTTGGTTATCGATGTGGTTAATCGAGAGCAGTGAGAACAGCAATGGCAGCTGTTGTCGAAGTCAAGAGACTACAGGAGAGAACACAACACAAACCTGTTGAGGCTCACGCCTTTTTCGTGTTACTGATGTTGTTGTTTTCAAGTTGTTCTAGGCTGTTTTCGCTTTCTCAGCTAACAACTTATATTGGGACAAGGTAAACAGGTCAATAGCTGTCAATAAACCGGCGAAGCATAACGGTAAGGCTAGCGGAATCTAGATTATATATAATTATGCTGAGAATTTTAGCACATATAATTTTCAATGGCTTAACGATTCTTAGTTAAGTGTAGTCACAATCACTATAATTAATGCCGTCGTGTCGGGTTGTCGTAGTTTTAAATGACAGCGGAGCACCCACACCTACACACACACTCATCCACGAATACACACACGCACACACTTTGAGTGAATGCACAAATGTTTGCATTACACTTAATTAATTTGTCAATCGTTAGCCACTTACCGTTTAAGAGTATACTGAATCTTTGGTACACTTAAATTGTCACTATTACATGTTTAGTGCTTTTATTTCACATAAATGTATACTATTTTCACTGAATTTTAGGCAGATACCACTACGCGTTGATATGTGTTTGTGTATGCGTCAAATCGATAACTAGCACAAAAATCGTTGTTAAGCCAAACGATAGTAAACACGACCTATTCCATATGATCAGCTGTTTTGTAGCATAAGTATCGATAGCACTTGATTGCACGTGTAGCAGTGTTTGGATTTGTTTAATATATGAAGTTTCTGAATTCAGCGGCGCCTAAATTAAGTGAAATAAATAAAGATGGCGCGTAGACCAGAGCACTCAGCACCGCCAGAGATCGTAAGTAAATCAAATTAAATACATAACATTTATATTAATTCACTGTTCTACAGTTCTACAATGACGATGAGGCCAAAAAGTATTCCACAAAGCAAGTATTCAATTCTTTGTTTATATCTGCGGTCTTTGTTAATTTGTGTTTTTTGTAGTACCCGTATTATAGAAATCCAAGTGGAAATGGCGGAGCGTGCTCTTGAACTTCTAGCACTGCCGGATGACGATGAGCCTCGATTTATTTTGGATATTGGGTGCGGTTCTGGCCTTTCGGGCAGCGTGCTCGACGACTGTGATCACATATGGGTTGGCATTGATATATCTAAATCTATGCTGGACATCGCTGTTGAGCGTGAAGTAGCCGGAGATCTTATTTTGGGTGATATGGGCGAGGGCATGCCTTTTAAGCCTGGTACTTTCGATGGTGCGATATCCATATCGGCTCTACAATGGCTATGCAACGCTGACAAATCCTATCACAATCCACACAAACGCCTGCTAAAATTCTTTACCACATTGTTCTCATGCTTGACTCGCACGGCTCGCGCTGTCTTTCAATTTTACCCTGAGAATGCAGACCAAATTGAAATGGTCACCGCACAAGCGATGAAGGCGGGCTTCTATGGCGGTCTTGTGGTGGATTATCCCAACTCCGCCAAAGCCAAGAAATACTATTTGGTGCTGATGACGGGAGGCGCAGCGGAATTGCCAAAGGCCTTAGGTAAGTCCACCTCTAAACTGCAGTTTTTTTTTGTTTAATTGTTATTTATATTTCCAGGATCGGCTGAGGAGGAACGCCGCATTAATTATATAAAGAAGCGCGATGCTTGCCGTGATGCGCGTGGTAAGGCGCCAAAGAAGTCACGTGATTGGATACTGGCCAAGAAGGAGCGACGTCGTCGCCAAGGCCTCGAAACGCGTCCAGACACTAAGTACACAGCACGTAAGCGCAGCGGTCGCTTCTGAGGATTGTCAAATACACATCTCTATATACATTTTGCGTGTTTATTTAACATAGTTAGGATTAAATCATTGTTAATTTGAGCTAGGTCACGTCGCTGACTTTTATTTGTTGTCTGGTGTATTTGCAACCGGTGCTAACTCCTTTTCCTGGTTCCGTTTGTGTCGCTCTTCCGCTCTACGCTTTGGGGTATCATATGAAGTCTCTGCCATAAACATCAGGTACATAGCTACGCCCGCAAATAGACAAGCAAACAAAACTAGGTCGTTTTGGACAGATAGTCTATTGGTTTCTTTTTGCTGGCGAATACGTTCGTGCTTCGCTTGTGCTTCTTGGCGTCTATCAAAGCTTTTGCCATAATGAACCCGACTCCATTCATCAAAATCGTAGATGGGCGTCCGTCCTTGGGCATCACCAACTGTAGACTTCCTGAAGCGTGACTTATAGAATTTAGTCTGCGAATCATCTTCCTCGTACTCCACGTTCTCTCCCACATCTCGTAAATCCTGCGCGTATTGGGGTCCAGCTGTATGCACAATTCCCTTATCGTAGAGACGACGCAGCCGATAGTTACCAAGCACCTCGTAGGCCTGGGTAATCTCACGAAACTTTTTAGCGGCACTTTCGCTGCCCTTGTTCCGATCTGGATGATAAACCATGGATAACTTATAATACGCCGCTTTAATTTCTGTCTGTGTGGAGCTTTTACTGATGCCCAAGGCCTCGTAATGGCTAATCTGCCATTGACCGCTTGTTGTGTATAGGCAACGAGCTAAGAAGCGACAGAGAAGTTGGCCATGTTGCAACATGGCTCGTATAAATTGCTAACTACACAAATAGGTTTGTTATTATTTGTTATATCACATTCTGTTGGCGAACCAAACAAACAATCAGCTGCTCCTGAACTTGAAAACAACTTATCGGATAGCGATAAAAATGTGCGATCAGCTGCTTTCACGCCGACAACAGCTGAATGGCAATTTGAAAACAGTTGTGGCCGCTTTTCTTCTTTCTTGCTTGTTGTTTTTGGATTTTCCTTTTGGGCTTTATTTATATATAGAACATACCAGCAATTGAAATTTCGAGCGCAGTGTGCTTGTTTTTCACGTTTGCATGTGTGTGAATGTGTGTGTGCATGTGCGATCGAGAAGTTTCTGCAGCAGTTGATATAAGGCCAAACGGTAGAAAAGAAGCGAAAAACAGACAAAAATCGTGAATCATTCGCATTTTAAGTGAAACGTTTGTACTGTACACAGCTAAAATAAAAGTTTTTCATTTAGAGGAATTGTATAATCATGACCACCGAAGACACCGCTACAGAAAGCGCTCCAGCTACCGCTGGTGCTGATGCTATAAGTCATAAAGATAAAGGTAATGAGGCTTTCAAAGCCGCCAAATGGTCAGAGGCAGTGCAAGAATACAGCGCTGCTATTAAGCTAGGAGATAAGCACAAGGAGCTGCCTGTGTTCTATAAGAACCGTGCTGCTGCCTATTTAAAGCTTGAGAAATACACAGAGGCCGTCGATGATTGCACAGAATCGCTGCGTCTGGCGCCCAATGACCCCAAGGCGTTATTTCGTCGTGCTCAGGCATACGAGGCACTAAACAAACCTGAGGAAGCCTATAAGGATGCAACGGCCCTTTTTAAAGCGGATCCGGGCAACAAATCTGTGCAGCCTATGCTACAGAGATTGCATCTGATTGTGCAAGAGAATGCAGCGCGTAATGCCAAAACGTCAACGAAGGTGAAGCAAATGATGGAGCTTGCCTTTGACATTACCGCGCCCATTGATAAACGACGGTCGGGCGCTAATAACTTGGTGGTGCTGGCCAAAGAGCCCACAGGAGCCGAATTGCTGTACAAGGAGCAGTGTGTGCCAAAGATAGCCACTCTAGCCAAGATCGAAAAGGACGAACAGATCTACGTGAATATGGTGCGTGTTGTGGCTGCATTGTGTGACAACAGTGTGGAGCGCACCAAAGGCGTACTCACCGAACTGGGCATTCCTTGGTTTATGCGCGTGCTCGACCAGAAGCATGAGGAATGCGCGAGCACTGCACAGTTTTGTCTACAGACCATTATCAATGCACTGTCTGGTCTCAAGAACAAGCCCGATGCGAAGCCGAATAAGGAACTATGCAAAAAGAATAATCGTGAGATTGATACGTTGCTCACCTGTCTGGTATATAGCATCACGGATCGCACCATATCCGGCAAGGCGCGTGATGCAGTTATTGAGTTGATTACACGCAATGTCCACTACACTGCGTTGGAATGGGCAGAGCGTTTGGTAGAGATACGTGGGCTGTGCCGCCTGCTGGAGGTGTGCTCAGAGCTCCAGGACTACAAATATGAGAGTGCTATGGATATAACATCCTCTACGAGCACTATTGCATCAGTGTGTCTGGCCCGTATCTATGAGAACATGTATTACGATGAGGCCAAGAAGCGTTTTACAGATCAAATTGATGAGTTTGTTAAGGACAAGCTGCTGTCGCCCGACATGGAGTCCAAGGTGCGGGTCACTGTGGCCATCACAGCGCTTCTCAATGGTCCGCTCGACGTGGGAAATCAAATTGTAGCCAGAGAAGGTGCGTTTAATAACACTCCTAATCTCCTAAATATATATAATTATATAATATGTTGAATATCTTTCTTTCGTAGGCATTCTGCAAATGATTTTGGCCATGGCCACTACAGATGATTTGCTGCAGCAGCGCGTGGCATGTGAATGTCTTATAGCGGCTTCCTCGAAGAAGGACAAGGCCAAGGCCCTGTGCGAACAGGGCGTGGAAATTCTGAAGCGTCTATATCACTCCAAGAATGATGGCATACGTGTGCGCGCCCTGGTGGGTCTGTGCAAGTTGGGTAGCTATGGTGGCCAGGATGCGGCTATAAGACCATTTGGCGATGGTGCCGCTTTGAAGCTGGCCGAGGCCTGTCGTCGATTCCTGATCAAGCCAGGCAAGGATAAGGATATTCGCCGCTGGGCAGCTGATGGCTTGGCCTATCTTACGCTGGATGCGGAATGCAAAGAGAAGCTCATTGAGGATAACGCGTCTATACATGCACTCATGGACTTAGCACGTGCAGGCGATCAGTCGTGTCTGTACGGCGTGGTAACAACATTTGTGAATCTGTGCAATGCGTACGAGAAGCAGGAGATGGTACCTGAAATGATTGAGCTGGCCAAGTTTGCCAAACATCATATACCGGAGGAGCACGAGCTGGATGATGTAGATTTTGTGAACAAGCGCATCACTGTGCTGTGTAATGAGGGCATCACCACGGCGCTCTGCGCTCTGTCCAAGACGGAGAGCCACAATTCACAGGAGCTTATTGCGCGTGTGCTCAACGCCGTCTGCGGCTTGCAGGAACTACGCGGCAAGGTGGTGCAGGACGGAGGTGTCAAGGCATTGCTTCGAATGGCCTTGGAGGGCACCGAAAAGGGCAAACGACATGCCAGCCAAGCGCTCGCGCGCATCGGCATCACCATCAACCCGGAGGTGGCATTTAGTGGTCAGCGCTCGCTGGACGTCATACGACCATTGTTGAATCTGCTGCTGCAGGAGTGTACGGCTCTGGAGAACTTTGAGGCACTGATGGCCCTTACCAATTTGGCCAGCATGAATGAGAGCGTGCGCCAACGCATTATCAAGGAGCAGGGCGTCTCCAAGATTGAGTACTATCTGATGGAAGATCACCTGTACCTCACGCGTGCTGCGGCTCAGTGCCTGTGCAATCTGATCATGTCGGAGGATGTGGTGAAAATGTTTGAGGGCGAGAACGATCGTGTCAAGTTTTTGGCACTGCTCTGCGAGGATGAGGACGAGGAAACGGCCAAGGCTTGCGCCGGTGCCCTAGCGATGCTCACGTCCGTGTCCACCAAGTGCTGTTCCAAAATTCTGAACATCTCTAGTTGGCTGAATATATTGCACACACTCATTGCCAATCCGAGTCCAGCCGTTCAGCATCGCGGCGTTGTCGTCATACTCAACATGATCAATGCGGGCCCTGAGATCGCTAAGAAATTATTCGAGACGGACATTATGGAGCTGCTTAGCGGCCTGAGCCAGCTGCCTGGCGAGGATCGGGCGAAGGCTCGTGAGGTGGCTACGCAATGTTTGGCAGCTGCAGAGCGACAACGCATCATCGAGCGATCCGAAGATGCTGAGGTACCAGACATATTTGCCGAGAGCGCGAAAATCACCGAAATCGTCGATGATGATTAAATTATCCAATTGCTTGATTTATAGTAGTTAGATTTTTATACCCTGCACTCTTTCATCTAACACTTTGTCATTTAATTTATTTTCAAATCACTTATGAAATCTGTACTTAGTAGGCATAAAGTGTTCTTAACAATGTACGAATTTATAATAAATTCTTTAAAATGTTTCGTTTCAAATTGTAGTTTGCCCTAAGGTACCACCTATACCTGCTATATTGAGATTATTATTATTTTTATGGAATGAAATTTTTCCTCTTTGATTTTCATGTTTCTGCATTTCGCTTTTATACAAAATGTTTTTGCCATAAATGCTAAGCACAATTTGGTTGAAATTTTGGACACAATTTAATGTTTGTGCTGGCACTCAATAAATATTGTTCAAGCACTTTTACACTGCGCAGCAAATTTTAGGTTTTTCTTATTTTGGTTGGCTTCATTGAGCAACTGCAGCTGCGTGGGCATCCATTTTGGGGCAGTCAACCGTTTTAATTTGATTTAATATAGTCCCCACCCGGCCGCTGCTCTTAAAATACATATATTATATGCAGTTTAGGACTTGTTGCGCATTTCATGCATTGTTGATGGCTGTAAGTCTTATAGCGACGAATCCAGCGATCCATGTGAGTTTGGTCTGAATTGAGCCGAGAGACGAGAGCTGTGAGCTGTTTAAGATATTTTCCCACATTGCAACTGGCTGGCTGACTGACTGACTGACTTGGCGAGTATCGGACTATCTATCTGGCTGGTATTCATTCCAACACTTAAACTGACATTAGCCAGCCGACTCGGAAGAACTTCTAATGCAGAAATAATTGCAGTTGTTGCTGCTGCTGCGGTTGCTGCTGCCACTGACAGTAGCTGCAATTGGCTGCAGAGGCTCACAGCTCATTCTCTTGGCACTCTTGGTTCTTTTCAAATTGCTCAATTTCAATGAAATATTATTAAATAAATTAATGTAGCGTTAATTCATTTTGCTTTTCAAAAGAAAATAGCTGTAGATATCTAGCTGCCTGCTGAGCTGCTGCAGCTCATCCCAAACTGAATTCCCAATCTGGGCATTAAGTTGTTAGCTCAACTTGGGCTTAACGGCACTTGGCCATTGTATACAATACAAGTGGAATGGCATATATGTATATCTGTATCTGGCTTCTATGAGTTGGCACTTGGCCACACAGTGCCTGTCAAGGGGAGTAGTTTGAGAGATTGGCAGACAGGTGCCGCATTAACCCAATTGCGCCTTTTGTTTGACTGGAAGCCCTGTGACAATTGACGGACCTGATACGCTCCTCGAAGCATGGCGTACAATGCAAATGAAAGTGCAACACTGCAACCACAAATTGTGGCACGTACCTCAACAGTCGACTGTCATATCTGGGGTATGTGCCATAGTACACAGCATATATCAACCGTTTAAGTTCACAATAAAGTCTTAAAGAGCTGAGATACCTATGACATATTCAATTACGATCCAATTACATTCTTTATTATGATTACAATCATAAATGACGTTGCCCTAAAACTGATTAATTCTAGGCTGTCGCTAGGCTATAGAGAAAAGGTCTTTAAATTACATGTCATTTAGCTTTCATCGGTTGCTTCTTATTATATTGTGCGCCGGTTGACTTCTTTTGATATATGAATATGGATATATCTATGTATTATAGACAATGAAGTGTAGT